TTTTAAGATACTTTCTGCTTTCTCTTAAATATTTGACCTTTTATCCTGAGTAGATATACTTTATATGGCCAGCTCAGGATAGCCTACTTTGTTTGGTGTTCTTAAAGAGACAGGTTTGCATAATTACTGTAATTTTGGACAGGCTAGCTGACGTTTTTTAATACAGGAATGGCCTTTTTATTTTCGAAGCATTTTCAATGTTGTCAGTAGGAAAAACAGGTTTGGAAGTAGTACTAAAGAAAAAGTTACAGGGTTGTGCCATCAGTGGACAGAAGACTGACTGGCTCTCACATCTTGATCAGTTTTTGGGCCGTGGTATCCTTTGCAGTTAAGTCGATGCCTCTGTGACAAGGAGTAGTGGAAGTCTGTATAAGTTTGTAACTTTCTTCAGTACTACATCGTGTGCCATTTTGACACATACCAGTTGGTTATTTATTCTATACTTTTGTCTGTGAAACTACCTTCAGTTTTAGCTTCTGTATTGTCATTGAAGAATGTGTGTGAAATGTTTCTTCTCATGCTTGCTGAAAAGCTGGCACAAAGCAAGCAGCATAGAGGATCAGTTCCTTAGCCTTAAGTATTTATGTACTGATATTTTTAAAAAAGAAAGAATAACTGTCTGTTGAATGGCCGAAAACTTAAAATAGGAAAACCAAGTGGCTTATTTCACACGAATGCAAAACTGTTCATCAGTGTATATCTGTTCTTCATGTGTCTAACTTAGGGTAGCTGTAAGTGTTGAGTTAAATGATAATTAAGTACTATCCATCTCTCATATATATTTTTTTTACTCTTATGTAAAAGAGTGAGTGTCCAAGTAGACTGTGCATTTTTCTGCTGCGAATATATCTGTGTTTAAAACAGGGAATATGCTGGGACTTATAAAAATCATCTTCACTTTTTTACTCAGGATGTTTTCAGCTATGTGAAGACCTAGAAACAACTTTTATAATAAAAAGTGGATGGCTGCATGGCAGGTTGAGGAGAGAGGTGGTAGAGTTACCAAAAGCATGAAATACTTGTGCGCCAGTTCTCTTTTTAAAATATCTTGATGCCTTCCTGCTTTTCAAACACATTTAATACTCTACTGGGTTTGTTGTAATAGTTTAAAGAATTTTTAAAGCAACATTGAATACTGTCTCAAGAGTATAATGTATATTATGTGTCAGTGAATAGTATATGCAGTATTGTTTTATATATTAGAGGGATATTCAATATTTAATGCCCTCTCTGTAGCAAAATCAGTATATCATAGTGCTCTAAAACTAAAAAGCCAGCAGTGGAGTTTCAAGGCTACTTTGCTTACTCCTTTCTCAGTCTGGTTCCGGTCTTGATGAGGAGCTAAACATCTGCTCTGTTGCTATCTCTAGGGGAAGGCTGACCAGCCCACCACTTCTGCTCTCTTCTTAAAGGTGGACCAGTCCCCTGCTCCTCTATACTCATAAGTCATATACTTATCTAAATCAAAGATCCCTGAGTGAGAAAACTGTCAGAGAAAATAAAAACAATAATGGACAGTGCGGATTCTCCTAATTCTGCTGCAGAAATGGGCTTGGGTTAGTTAAGTTACCAGCTGGGTCTAGATATTCTGAACTGTATCTCCTCTGGACTATCTTCACAGGCTCACAGTCAGCCATAGATCCAGCTGTTATACGGAAGACTGGAATAACAGCTGCTTACATGCCAAAGTATTCCTTCACTTTATAAAAGAGTGCTGCTGGCTGGTGGTAGCCGCTTATGTTTTGTATAGCTTTCCAGGCATTTTAGAGCACAAAAGAGTAGGCTGTGAATAGGCTTGAAGGGAATCTTGTTCCTGTGATCTGAATCTCTTGGCTGTGCTTAAGCGAAAGTTTTGTGTCCCCTGATTCAAGAGTGGTTTTCTTAGCAGTAACACTGCCTATGAAACAACACTATTGTCTAGCTGATGACAAGCCTTGGTACTTCATGAAAACTTTACAAGGGATGTTCAGTGCTCTTTCTGGTTTTATCCACAGTTGGCTTTGGGATGCATTAATTCTATGTTTTGGTTGGGTATTTTTGCCTCTGAGGTTCCTTTTGCCTGCTCAATTACTTTTACCTACACTATCAGGATTCTTGTGGCCTGCTAGGTCCTATCCTTTCTGTGAGCATTGTCCTGTTTTTTTCACACTTGGGATAGTGAGAATTGTCTGCTAATACTAAGAATATTGTCTATTTGTACAGATTGCCTTGATGTAGGCATTTATTTTCCTTTGCTAAGGTTTTAAGAAGTAAAGGATGAAAAGATAGTCTATTCTTCTTCAGGTTGCATTGTTGTGTTTGACTGCTCAGTTATGAAGTGGACATAAAAGTTGATGGTGTCATTTTCAGACTCATGTCTATCAGTAAGATTTTTTTACTTCTGTTTCCAGCAGTAGACTTCACTGCATTTCAGTTGCACTAGCTCTTTTTGGAAGTGATAGCTAAACAAGAAATATCCCAGCCTGACTTTCAAGTCATGATGGGTTTTCAGGACTGGCAGGTAGAAATATTCTCTTCAATTATAAATTGGAGACATTTGTTATCCAAATCATTGAGCCTATAAACCACATGGATAACGCCATGTGCTTTTATGGAGAAGAAACATGTACACCACCATGTGTGAACTTGTTTTTCTACTGCTATAGGTGTGTGTACCCTTCACAGTACTAATTTCAGGTTTCTGCCTGAAATGGCATTGTCTGGAGTAAAAAATGAGAGAGACAGAGAGAAGAAGGTGATCTCTGTGTTTGTATGCAATGTACATATTTATTAAGATAGATCAGCGTATAGATTTACGTATGGATAGATGTGCGCACACACTTGTTTCATATAAAAACGTCACTTTCTGCTTCATTCTGGGCTATGTATGTAGTTCTTTTCTACCTCTTTCTCTCTTCCTTCTCTTGCCTTTATGTATCTTCTTCAGAACCAAGAAGCCAATGATTCTTTTTTTGTGCTTGTGTGAGTGTATGCTTTTCTCTTGCTTCTTTGTAGTAGTTTCACTGGAATGGTGTTATTACGATGGTTCTTCCTTTGACTCAGAGGTGGATTGATTTTCCCACCCCCAGAGGCTTGGAATTATGAATGCTTGGCCAGTTGCTTCCCAGCCAGAGTAGACTCCTTGATGATTTGTATTGAAACTTCATGTTACTTGTGTACAGTCACTGAAGTGGTATTGAGAATTTCCTGGTAGGACAGTGAATTATTACTTGAGGATTGATGAATGTTTTGTACATTGTAACAGCTCATAATAATTTCTGAAATGTTAAAAGGAAAATTGTAACTTTTATTGGAAACTCAGAGAATAGATTTGTCAAACTAGTTTTATTAGTTTTGGCGCAGCATGGTTCCTGAGCAGAATTTTTTAACTTCTCTGAGTTGGTAGTTTGAGTAGATGCAGTGATTTTAAAGTTATGATGTAAACTCTCACTATTGGTTCCTGTGTAGATCATGGGTTTTTTTCCTTTGTCACCATGGTATAATCATGTAAATATAGTATAAATTGTTTAGTAATAGGTGTTAAAAGTGGTCCTGTTGGTGATGTAAGAAAAGCAAGCACACATACTGACATAAAAGCAGCCACAGAAATGTAAGTATGATTGCATTGATGCCAGCTGAATCTGTCAGTGCTCCAACTTGTGTTATTTTACTTTTGTTACATATGAGTAAACATCAGTTGAAAGTTAAAAAATAATTGTTTTTCCCTGTATTTGAGTTATTTTTCATGTCAGTTTTGGAGTGTGAGGATTTGAAGAGCTCTTCCTTACTTTCAACCCTCTTAATTCACCTCAATTCCTACATGCAAGAGAGAGTGAGCTGTTATCCTAATAAATGTTAAATTTAGACAGATTGTTATCCCAAAACTGGGAGGAATAAGAAATACCTCTGTGCAGGCTATCTGTGCTTTCAGAACACATTGTCATTGAGTATGTTTTGTTAGAAGTTTATTTGTTGGACCACTGATCCTACTGCTTCTTGTGCAGCATAGTGAAGTGTTAATGTGTCTTGGTAATTTTATTTCCTTTCATTCACATTAAAAGGGCTGTGTTAGGAGGATAGTCTTACAGTCTCACCATCAAAGTGAATGTGTTGTTTTTTTCTTGTTGGTGTACTTAGCTAATCTTTTGGTTCAGACGTTTAATGTATTTCAGGTTCTGCTTACAGTCTAAACGTTGGCAATGATCAGTTTTCTCCAGTGAGCCATCATTGTTTCTTAGCTTCAGCCAGACTGGTGAGGATTCATCTGGTCATATTCCTGTTCTGTGCTTAGTTTTTAATCTGAAAAAATCCTGGTTTGTTGTAATTAAACAGACATCTTTAGGATTTGACCAAAGAATCTTGCTGTAGAAGACTTAAGGAAAGTTGAAATAAGAGTAAAAATAAAAAAGAAGCTTAGGAAATTAGCAAAATGCTGAAAGATGCAGAAAGAAGCTGTAATTTATTTTTTTTTCATGGTTGTGGTTAATGTCTGCTGTTACTCAGTGGGAGACAGTCTTTGTCTTCCTTACGCAGGGAATCAAAATGACAGTAGTCCAGATGTCCCTTCATGTTCCTGTGGTTGTTGGGACATGCCCCATGATGTGGGCACATTACACAGATTCAGTCCTCCTGTTATGTTTGAATTTGGTTTACCTCTGCAATTGATCCTCTACCAAGCCATTACGGTTTTTACTGTATTAGAAGCCGACTGATCCTTCTCAGATACAGTTTTTAAGTACACAGGAGCTCACTCATACAACGATTAGTAGTTGCTTCTTCTGCTGCACTTTCTGTC